ATATGTCTGAGCTTTTATTCTTGAATGTAGTTTTCTTTTATTTGTACTTAGAGTAGCTATATAGTTAGCAGTTTAACAGTTTAGCCCTGACTGCAAGTGTTGGTTTTAGCCATAGCATTTATATAGAAAATTACTTTTTGTACATAGCAGTTCCACATAGCTACTAATTTTTAAACTACCAATAAAGATACGAGCAAGGCCTCATCTTAATACCAAAAAAAAAAAAAATAGTTAAAAGTAACTAGATTATATATATAAATAATTTTTTTTAAAAATCTAAGATTTGAAATTAAAATTTAAAGTTAAAATTATTTTAATTTAATTTTATTTAAAAAACAAACTTTATTACTATTTTTTCTATATAAATAAAATTATAAAAAAACAAATATATTATAATACTATAAGAAAGTTAATACCTTAAAAATCTCTATTTATAGAATAAATGAAAGTCTCTTATGTAATATTAGAAGTTTAGTATTTAAAAGAGGTATTGGATTTATAAGTACTAAAGGTAAGTATTATTTTATTAATTGTATTATGAGACTTGCTATTTTTATATTTAAAACATATTATTTATATACTTTTTCTCTATATACTAAATATACTAATTGCACTATTTACACTATATATACTAATTATACTAATTATGCTATATATACTAATTATCATACTTACATTATATACATTAAATACACTACATTCATTACATCTATAATTATGCTAATTACACTATCTACTAATTACATTATATATATATGCTTTATCTATTAATTTATTATTGTTTTATTATATAATCTAACTTTAATAAAATATCAATAATTCTATTTTAGATTATGGCAATATATTTATTATTTACTATTTTTTATAAAAATTTTTAAATTACTTTAATAGAATTAAAATACAATTATTATTGTTCATTATAGAATACATTACTTCTATCGAACAAACACCTTTTATGACCAACAATATATTTGTACCTAATTGTAGTACAGTATGGGATGGAGTTGCTGAACAAGCAATCTGGTATCACATGAACAGCTTTTATGAGTATCATATTATTATTTTACTTTCTTTTTTCTATTTTCTTTTCCCTTTCTTTTTTTTTTTTATTTTTTTTTTGGATGCAATAGAAGGAAAGCTAAATATGAAGTCAAGCAAAAACATAGATTATTAAGTTACTCAAATATATAATGAACAAGTTAGATGATATGCATTATATGAAAAGTTTAGTGACTTATATAATGTATTGCCTTGTAACTTTTTTCATAAGCAATTCATTATTATTGTTCATCATGGAACATATTTCTTCTATTGAATGAATACCTTTTATGACCAACAATACATTTGTACCTAATTGTAGTATAGTATGAAATTGTTGACAAGGATCATTTAAAAACTAAAAAACATAATTTTTCTTTTTTATCCTCAATTACTATTGGGCGATTATGATTCTAACCCTTGCTATTATCTATAAACATAAACTTATAACTTTTTTTTTCAGAGGCTCTAGCACTAACAGTAGACATCATCCTAATTGCTTTCTTTATTTACATTTTATTTACATAAATAATAAGATTTTTCTTTAATCAGTTCTTTGTAATTTCTTATTACTCTTCTCTTTTTTTTTATAGACATCATATTCTTGTCTTATTTATTTATCCAAATATAAGTTCTATTTTCTTCTTTTCTTATTTTTTTTTTTTTTTGACTTTTGAACTTTGTCAGTAGGTAATATTACATTTCTAATTACAAATTTTTTTTTTTTTCTAAAATCCCATATTCTTAGAAATCTCAGCCTTTGTGATGAATACTGTTCTCAGATATAACATAACTGCTTTTGAGTTCTAGCTACCAATTGCCTATATTTGCATGAGGCTTATGCTTGCAAACATTGTTACTGTGACTTCTCTAATATGTAATAAGTGAGCTGTAAATCTGCTACTTAGATTTACATGTTTAGCAAATCGTTTAATTATCAATTTAACTGCTAAAACAAATACCTTTTTTTGTTTTAACAAGAATAATGATGTATCCACATTAGTTATAAAGCAAGTTCTCAGGTATTACTTTAATAATTTAGTCAGACAATACTTCGATTTGGTGTTTTCAACAGATATAAACTAGCTATTTCTAAATTAGTCTGTTTTTGACTTATAAATCTGAACCTATAAGGTTCCCTCATTATTTTACATTACATCATTTAAAAACAAATTCCTTAATTTCTCTAGTCTATGCATTGTCCTTAATTCTAGAGCCATCAGCATAATATTTCTCTTATACATAGATCTGTTAGCCCAAGAAGGTAGTGCATCTTTGTAATGTCTTAATGTTACAATTAGTAATAGGTTATATGACCAATCAAATGTCTTATTCTTTGAAACCTTCCTTTTTATCACTCTTATCACCTGTGTCACTGCTAGAGATTTTCTAAAATCCTGCTTTCCTTTAAAATATAGATTGCTTACAACTACCTGCAGTATTCAGTGAGTTTATAATGCCAAGTTCATTATATCCAGCTATATAATAAACATCAAAATACCTTCTTCCTGTAGGTTTTCTATATTCAAGCCAAATTTTTTGCAAAAATCTTTGTAAAGACCCTAATACCTATCAGCTTTTGCCTTGTAGAAGGAAGATACTAAATCCTTTACTAATTTTTTTGCCTTTTCTGACAATTTGTTTATGAATAGATAAGAATAACCAAGAATCTCTACAGCAGATTTCTCTAGAGTTCTACAAATCCTGATAGGCCAGATATGAATGTTGTTCTTGAGTTCAAAAAGGCTAAAGCTTTCTGCTTTAATTTCAAGAGTAGCAGCCACTACTCTGTTGACAACCATACTAAAACTATGATAGCAAATCTTGTTCTGCAACTTTTAATATGGTAAAGCACCTTTTGGATAAGATGCAAGAAGGGGCATACATAGTTTATGTCATTCTTTCATCTTTGGGTAAAACAATTTATCACTTCTATCCTTAGGCAAAAATGAATGCTGTTGAATTTTTAGAGCTTTGTATTTAGGTGTGAAGTCATTTGATCTATTAAATGTAGTCCAAAAGTGTTCTGAATTTACTGAAAAACCTCCACTCTGTACACCAATCTGAAGAGTCAAAAACTTGTGTCCAAAAATCTGCTAGGTTTTCTACTAAGGACATCCATTTCATCTCATAAATCCAAATATTCTTCTCAAGCAAATTTGTTACAGGTTCCTGTAAGCTTTCTTTTGCTATCAGCATTTCTGCCCAACCTCATTATTACTAATACTATGCAGCTATCTATGAACACAACATCTAGGAACTTAACAAAAATTTTGTGAAGCTTTGTAACTTAAGTAAGGCAATTTCTGCTTTCAAACTTGCAATTTTCTAAAAACTTTATGTTTCTGTTCAATTTCCAAACACCATTCTTTCTTCTAACTTCATACACCAACTAGTTGTTAAAACTTCTACAAACAAACTCTTTATCAAAGATGATCTCCAGGCCAGGCAACCATTGTACTTTTTTAGATTGTCTAACAACTAATATAAATCTATTTTTGCCTGTTCTAACAGATGAATCTTCTCATTTCATCTCCAACTTTGCTGATTTGCTGGGTCTATCAAGGAGTAAGACTCCAAACATTTTACTTGAATTAGAGCAAAGGTCTTTGCTAAGCTCCAGACTTTGCCTGTAATTTGTGCCAATTGTCTGGCTGATACTTAATTTTCTTTTAATAACACCTTCAAACAGGCTTTTGTATTTGCTAATTTCTGTTCTGGTACAATTACTTGTGCCTTTTCTGTATTTACAATTAATCTGTAAAATTTTATTTTCTTTGATAGTGTTGAGTTGCTTTTGTTCCATTCTAGAATAAATCTATAGTTTCTTATATTTGGTAATATGACCTTATTGTAAATTCTTTTCAGTATTTCTGCAAAGTGATTGGCCACCCAAATGTCATTGACATGAGAGCCTGATGCTATGCCCTTTGATCTCCAATAGGAAATTAATACCTGTATATTTTTTGAGAAAACTCAAACCACTTGAGAAAAGCCAAACATCAATACTTAATACTAGTACTAGGTCTTCTTTATACAAAAACCCCAAAAATGGCAAGCCTTCTTATTTATTAATACATAATGGTACCTGTCTCTTAGGTCAAACATAATCATAGACTAACATTTCCCTATTGACCTCAACAGGCCTCCTAACTCCTCAAACTGAAATAACTTCTCTGGCAATTATCTGTTTAACTTTCTTAGATTTATTATTAGCCAAAAATGTTTTAGACCTGATTTGGGTACCAGAAAAAGTGGTGATACCTCTAACAAGAAAACTGAATAAAATAACAATAACTCTATCTTTCTTATAGCTCTCTATTTTTTTAAATAGTTTACTTCTTCTTTTAATTACATCTTTTGTTCTATTATTAACTTATAGAATTTTGTGTCTGATTTTGCTGCAACAGTCTACACATTCTTTGGAAATAAGAAAACCAGGTTTTTTAACTAGCAAGCTACTACTGGTAAAGGGTTTATCTCTTCAATCTAATATCTTATAGCTATGGGTTTGTGGATCTTTCCAACTACCTCTCTGTCTTGATCTGAAATATCTATTAACATTGTTATTTTGTTTATTTTCTTTCTCTGAATATAATCACTCCTTGCATTGTTGTTTTTGTTCTGAAATTATCCATTACCAAATATGTTAACTTCTGACTTTGAAGAATATACTGAAGTAGTATGACCTACACCCTTACAAAAATAGCAGATAATCTGTTTTGTCAATGGCTTGTTAAACAGATTTGAATATAACAGGTCTAAGTTTAAATTAGGTTTTGATTCTAATACCCTTGAAATGTCAGTCAGTACTGGGCATAAGGTTGTGATGATAGTGGTGGTAGGTAAGGTCCATATTGATTTCAACTTGAACTAAAAGTCCAAAAATCATTCTTCCTATTTCTATAAAATTTCTTACTATAAGATGTGAAGTGCTCTTTATATAATTTTGCCTGCTTCTTTGCTTCTGCCAGTAATTTCTTACATTTGTCATCTTTATCAAGTGTTGGTTTCAGTATCATTGCTATTAAATTCCAGCTTTTTTTCAGTCACTCTTAATATGAATACTTTTAGTCTTAACAACTTCTGAACATTTGCTGTTTTTTTCATTAATCTCTTCTGGATTAACTTTTTAAGCAGGATTTTGACATTCTGAATTGTATTGTATTTGTGTTGGTCCTATGATTTTTTGAAACTCTTTCTTATAAAGCTTGCTTTAACAGTTCTGAACTAACCTGGTTTATTAAATTTGGCTAAGTATTGTTGCAAGTTGCTATTTAAGATCTTTGACAATAAATCTCCTAACTTCTTTTTAATTTTTTGTTTCAATCTATTTTTCATATAGGACATGAAATCAAGATTCTGTCTATCTATATCTGGAAAATGCAATTCTTACTTTTTACCAAAATCTTTATCTGAAAGTCACCCACTGTTTTATCTTTATCTAATTTTGGTGATGAGTTGATATTGTCAAGTTCTGTTCAAAAATCTTCTAGTTAAGCTGCTAGCTCAGTCTTTGTGTCATCTATTGGAATGTTACATTTAACATATATTGTTCATAAATCCATTAGGTGTAAATAATTCCAATCTACTTTGGGGCTTTCTTCTGCTTGTGGGATAGTTCCTTCACTACTTACTTCTATAGTTAAATTTTGTGTTACCTTAGATAAACTCATCTTTGGCTTGTTCAGTGACGAGAGCTAGACACAAAGTTAAGCAGAAAAATTCAAAAACAAAGAAAAATATAGATCATCAAGTTACTCAAATACATAATGAACAAGTAAGATGATGTACCATTATATGAAAAGTCCAGTGATTTCAATAATGTACTGCCTTGTGACTTTGTTCACAAGCAGTTTATAAATCTTTTTAAAAATTAATTTTGATAACATTTATAAATATTAATAGAATTTATAAATATTAATAGAATTATATAACTTTTAAAATTTTTCAATAATAATTTTCTTTTGTTATTTATTAATAAAGATATCAGAATACTATTATTAATAAAGATATCAGAATACTATTATTAATAAAGATATCAGAATACTTTTATTAATAAAGATATTAGAATGCTATTATTTAAAACTAGATTTATAAATTTATCAAAATAAGTATGATATTTAATTTTTTTATTATTTAACTAATTGTTTTTATTTTTACTTTTTAAGAGTATTAGTTTTGGTTTTATTTTTAGCTTTAATATGCTTATAGTAATTGGTATTCTTTTCCAACTTATTTTAATATTAGTTGTTAATTATAATTTTCCTTAGTGCGAATTATGCGCAGATTATGTGAATCAGGTAAAAAATATGCGACGACCAATTAAATTTTTGTAATTTAATAACTTGCCAGGTAAGTGACCATGTTAAAGATGGTAAAGAGATCTTATTTAGGGTTAGTTACCTTAAATAATGATCTGCATCAATAACATAACAACTTCGCGAGTTTCTTTCGAGGGTTTCGCCTGTCATATAATAATTACTGCCGCCTACATTATCAACCTTACAATCAACTTCTTTACAACAATCGTCTACATTATCAACTTTACAAGTACTTCTCACATTTACAAATATCACCTTTAATATCGTTTATACACCCACCATAACTGATTGATGACGATGACATACCAAGAAAGTTTGTCTAGGTTGTCACATTCATTGTCCTAAGGAAGTAAGTGTTAGTGATACTCTTCTGCAAAATTATTTATGCGATTACTTTAATGTTCGGTTATATGACAATTGCTTCTTTTATTATAACATTTACTCGACAATTATTTTCGGATCCAACCATTTTTTCGACTGTTACTTCCATAACACAAATGGTATATTTAATCTTTTATACTCGCTTCACAATTAGTTTTCTTCACTAAACTTATTCAGATAAAATTTTTTTCTATACTTCAATAGTTCTTTGTCTTTTAGTATATTTCAATAATTGCGCTTTTCATATATTGTATAATTCAAGTGTATTTAATGACCTTAATTAAAATAATAAACTGGGTTATTTCAATGACCGGGACCGAAAATACTATGACAACGGTCTCATTAGGACGGAACGGATCGGACCGGATCGGTGCATCCCTAACTGTATGTAAAACTGTATGTCAGTCCTAAACCAGAAGATAAATATCTAAGTTACATGCACAAGATAAGGTGAACGAAAATCTACTCCTCCGATGCTTAATAAAAGGACGGCAATGTAACAGTTTATTAACTACATAACGTTGTATGGTAGTTTATTTGTATGGCACACAACTTATCTTTTATTTTGGGCGAAGAGCCCGATTATATATATCTTTTTGTACATATATGTAAACTAATTTACAACCCGTTTTCCTATTTCCCTAATTTAACCATCTATTCTCATTTATCCCATTTAACCTATAAATCCACCTTTTCAAATTTATCTCATCTAATCCAATTGGTTGTTTAGTTTAATTAGTTGGATTAGTTCGAGTAGTCAACGGGATCTCTATTACGGAATAAGATCGTCGCACCCGATCGTACTACAATCACGTGTTCATGTGCCATCTATTGAATTACGGTTCGAAAGTATTACGGGTCCAATACAAGAAGAGATTGTGCCCCTAAAGAAAATTTCTACCAGGTATTGATAAATGGCTCGGTTTCCGAGTAATTTAGTATGCACATATAACAAAATTGTTACCCGGTTACAATCTCTACATATAAAGAACTACGTATATCAATATAAGGTAAAAAATATCCACATGCAGAAATATAGGGAAGTAGGGAATATGTGCATGTAATACGAAATACTAAAATAGTGATAGCATCTGAAAATTCGGACAGCATCCTGATGCTGTTACGTGTGCCCCAAAAAAAAAAAATTATAGTTTGCGTTTGCTCAACCATGCATGTTCAAAATAAACAAATAAACAAAGTTTGGCGTTTCTTGGCAGCATGTCCATAATATTATGTGATAGAAAGTATTAATAATAGCTTCGATAGGAATGTTTTTGATTTATTATAAATCAAATCTTTGGTTAAAATTTTAGAATCAAGTAATGACTACCAAATATTCTTAGTGTCATTATGGAAAAAGAGAACACCGCTTGTTGAATACACCTGATGGTTTTATAATCTAATCTTGATCTTAGTCCTAAGTTAATAATTTTAGACGCATTACTGCGCTTTAATAATCTTAAGCGTAATACTAAGATTTAATCTCTTATAAAGTTTACAAACTTATGTTTTCATTGCTTCATGTTACTAAGCTATTTTACTACCAATACATGTTTGCTTTTAGAATAATAAAGTAGATTAGCGATGTAAACCTTTTGAAATTGCAGTCATTTTACTAAGTTTAATATACTGTAAGCTATATTGAAACGTCAAGACATATCTCTCATCTAGCTTCCGAATTACTTCGTTAATTACCAAATTACTTTATTATGTTTTAGAGCCGAAGATGTAGTTTCTAAATTTTTTATACTATAACACTGCAGTTTTGTGCTTGTGGCTGTGGTTCCGTTTTTGTGAATGAGAAATGTTGCACTAAGACTCCCTCAATAAGATTTGCTATAGTGCAGGAAGTCTATACTCAACAGTTACACAAAATTTTTCAATTTTTTAAATAATCATAACTTTTTATTAAAAAATCTGACTGGAAACTTTTCAAAATCTCATCACTATAATAAAATTATATGTATAAATTTACAAATTTCTATATAAAATTTTAATTTTCAAAATGCTTCAATTTATTACAGTGATGAGATTTTGAAAAGTTTCCAGTCAGATTTTTTAATAAAAAGTTATGATTATTTAAAAATTGAAACACTTCGTGTAACTGTTAAGTATCACCGTAGTAATCAAGTTATTGTTGATCATTCGATTGATCATTCGATTAATCATTCGATTAATTGAAGTAATCCTCATTACAACTTCGCTGAACATTCATTGTTTGAAATGCTGATATAGGTAATTATTAGTATTCGAAGATCCGGTTTTTTTAAAAAAGGCATAACTTCTTAAATCTAATCTAAGAATATAAAGTTACGCTTTAGTCTCTGCAAAAATTTCAAATACTCATTGGAGAGTTAAACAGTATTATTTTATATTTGTTGTGCCTCAGATGTTACCTTTAGATGTCAATTTTTTTGGTTAAATTATAACCTCATCTTTACCCTAGCCGTAACTTGCTATTTGTCGTACCGTTCACTGAGACGTTTCACATTAGTGATGCAGGAGAATTACCGCATATTATAGAGATAATTACGGATGTTTCATCCGAATCTCTATTTCACATGTATCTCTAAATCCAATCAAAGTTGATAAAGATATGAGAAAAGAAAATTATATAGGTATACAAACCTAAATCCCAAAATTTTTATGAGAGATCCATGCAGAATTGTGTCCCCAACTTCTGCAAGCGCGTACGTATATATACAGTAAATCCTCAATAAATGCATCTTCTATAACTGCACACTCAAATTCGGACCCAACTATATACAGTGAAACCTCTATAAGTGCACGCCCTTCCTAAATGCATATTCAAATTTCAGCCCAAATATATGAAATTCTTATTGTTCTCTAAGTGTATGTTGGTAAAGTTTAGTCACAAGATCGTGCACTTATGGAGGTTTCACTGTATATTAAAACTAAATATTCCCTTATTAGTATTATTAAACAATTTATACTTTTGACTTATATTTTCTACATGGAAAATTTAGAATTCTTATACTATATTGGGTGTTGTGTACGCACATACCTGCCAAGATTATCGCATCATATGATATGTTATCATTACAAATAATTTTCATGCGTATTATCATTCTTGACAACAACTTCAATGATAAAGTTTTGAAAAGCTAAATACAGCATATCCGACACCCGGCAGAATTTAAAATTGGTAATGCTAATACGTAAGGTTAAATTAATCACAAATTAGAGAAAAGGGTAACCATTCCTTACTTTAGTATGAATGAATGAATAAGATGGTTTTACATTTAACGCTAATCCAAACTTTCTTTATAAATATGACATTCTAAATTCTTCACTCCACACGAATTATTTAATTTAATGTTCATAATTAAATTTCGTCTACGATCGAATTCAAATTTTATTTATCCGCATTAATTTCAAATTTTATTAAATCATGATATTCAACTTTGCTGCCATATTTTTGACCTTTATTATTGCCAGCTCTTTGGCATTTCCAGCTCCAATTTTACAAGATATTGATGTAAGTAGAAAATTGTATAAAAGGGAACCAGCAACTGCTATTGAAAAAACGAATGCCGATAAAAGTACGAAATTGGCTGAAAGAAAACCAGCAACTGCTATTGAAAAAATGAATGATGAAAGTACGAAATTGTCTGAAAGAGAACCAGCAACTGCTATTGAAAAAGCGAACGATAAAAGTACGAAATTGTCTGAAAGAGAACCAGCAACTGCTATTGAAAAAACAAATGAAGATAAGAGTACGAAATCGTCTAAAAGAGAACCAGCAACTGCTATTGAAAAAATAAATGAAGATAAAAGTACAAAATTGTCTAAAAGAGAACCAGCAATTCCTGAGAAAATGAAATAGGAAGATCTTACCGTTGAAAGTAGGAAACGTATAAAAGAAAATACGATCATGAAAAATACAATAAAGATGACAATTACCAAGAAGAAAAAAACTGCTTGTAATGATTATTCAGAAAGGTTTTAATCAAATCTCTTCCATAATGGTGAATATTGATTGGAAATTTAATAAATTTTTATTTAATAATAGTTGAATATCGTGTCAAAATCTTTATTGTATTATTAATCTAATAAAATTATTCAAGTATAAGCTCAAAAAAATTTTGTCTACTTTCCTAATTTCATTAGCAGTTTATAATCTACGCTATACTGATATATAAATTCGAGTATAACCAGTTCTGGTACAGAAGCTCATATTAATACACTTATTAATAAATAGCTTTAAATTAGACTTATGAATAGTGACAAGCAAATCGCAGTTTTTTAAAAATCCCGCGAGGAATTCGCGGAATATAGTAGAATTTGTTAATTTTTCATGAATTATAAAAATATATATAAAGATAATCACTAGAAATATAATTTCTTGTTAAAATAAAATACATTTAGCACGCCCTTGTTTATAATCTGGGTCTGATCCAAGTTTTTCGAAATGATGCCAAATCGATTTATTAACACCCATGTTATAATAATGTTGTTTAAAGAATGACTTAATAATGGTTATATTTATTATAACAAGGAATAGTAAGTAAGAACTACCAACGGCAAAAAAAATTTTAATCAAGTATACGCATAAATATAAAGAATGATAAACAAATACTCAAAAAAGTTTTGAAAATCATATGATATCGTCAATTCATGATATCAACATAAGTGATTTAGTGAATTTTTTTCTTCTATTCTTTAAAGTGAAAAGCGATTGTTAAAGGCATAAAATCCAATAAACACACTATTCTAAAAATATATTTTGATTACCGTAACCATATTTCTATTGACAAATGAATGAAAATCGAAATAAATTATAAAAATTAATCAAGATTTAATTTTTAATGCGCTTTTGAAATATTATAACTCTGATTATTGTTTGAATCCAGGACAGCAACAAATGATTCAGTAGTATTAATAAAAACTTTATGCTATTGCATTAATTGGATGATTATAATCATTTTAAAAGCCAATGGAATATTCCCTGAACTTAGAAAAACCGTAATTATAATACTTTCTGGTTATAATAAATAATACGTTTATTGACATGAATTTTTAGTGCTCGATATATTTGTTACGTGACGTTCAAAACTTTTTTGGGTGGCGATTTTACTCCCGTATTATAAATCGACCCATTAATGTTAATGCAGTCCGGATGAGATTTAATTCAGGCCAGATGATATGCTAATGCAGGCCAAATAATCTCATATTAAAAATCCCGCGCGCGGCCCATCACTACATATGAGTGTTGCAAGCAAAAACCTGTAATCTCTGTTTTTGCGGTTCCGCTTTTCAGAACAGTGATCAGATTCTTGATTAATTATGATAAATTGTTTTTGTTAATAATAAAGAATTTATGTGTAAATTTTATGATCTTAATGTTAATTATTATATTGGTTAAATAAAATCTAAAATTCATATTTGTGATAAAGAAAACAAGCCTAAAACATATTAACCAACAAGGTTTCTTAATATTTCCTTGACAACTACTTGTATAACAATTATTTCTTTTAAAAATATTCTTCAGACAACACTTTAACAACACAAATTTTTTTCTTGATATTACTTTTTAGATAATTTTTAAAAAATATTGATAAAAAATTATTGTCAAAAAAGTTAAAAAAAAAATTTGTATCAAAAAATTTATTATAAAGAAAAATCTTTTCAAGAAAAACAGATGTTGAAATAGTTGTTAGGGTAATATTAGTAAATCATTCATTTTTTCAAACTATAATTAATAAATATTAAACAAAAAATTATTATATTTAATTTATAAATGTTTTTTGTTGTCATAGAAATTCTATTAGAAAAAATAAGAATTATTACATACAGAACAATTAAAATATTTAATTTTTTAAATTGTTATAATTTTTAAAACAGGTTAAAATTAAATTTTTTTCTAATTTATTATTTTTTATTTTAATAAATTTGAAAAAAGAATTTTTAAAATTGTTAGTTTTTTAAAAGTTAAAATATTTGATTTTTAAAAATTTAGTACATATATATAGTTTTAAAATTTTGATTAGTTAATTTAAAAAATATTTTAATAATAAATAAAATTTAATTATTATAAATAAAAACACTAATATTAAAGCTTAAATTGTAGTTAATATATTTTTTAGTTATAATAGTATAAAAAAGTTAGTTTATATTAATTTTTTAAAATAATTAATAATTATAATATAAGTTAACTTATAATTTTTCTAACTAACTATTATATTATAAAATATCTCAGTTTTTAATATGTAAGAATTTGTACAAGAAAGGAAATAATTGAATGTTTTTTATAGCTGATAGATTGTTAAGATGTATATTTCTTTGTGGGTTTATTGGTAGAATAAGTAAAAGGTAAACAATTGCTTCAAGTTCTGCTCAAGTAAAGTCAGGATATAAAAAAATTGTACAGTTAAATTTGATTTGAGTATTATGTTCAGAAATCCATTTAATACCAATTTTTGGATATAATGTTTGTGCATTAATAATTGAGACATCTGTATAAAAATAAATATTATTTGAAAGATTATTAGTTAATAGAAATAGATTAGTAAGTTGGTTTTGGTAATGATGAGAAAATATGTTTTTTGGATTATTTGAATTTCTGTATCAAAAATATAAATATTGTTACGATCTAAAATAGGATCGTTAATAATTTATTAAAGATCGATTGCATAATTAAACAATAGTATATATATTAATTAATAGATATAGCATATGTATAGCATAATTAGTAAATATAGGGTATATAGCGTAATTAGTAAACATAGCGTATATAGCGTATATAGTGTATATAGCGTATATAGCATATATAGCATATATAGCAGATATAGCGCATAAAGTAGATATAGTGCATAAAGTAGATATAGCATATATAGTGTATAGAGCATAAATAGTGTATTTAGCAGATAGGGAAAAAGTATATAAGTAATGCACTTAAAATGTAAATAGAACATAGAAGAGAATAGATAGGACGTAATAAAGAATACCCACCTTACACTCGCTAAATCCAATGCCTCTTTCGAGTGTAGTAATGTCCAACATTATGCTAACGACATATTGGCTACCCTATGAATAGGGAATTCTAGGGTAGTTCCGCCATTAATCATTATAGCATATTTCAAATAATTTTACATTACTTTAAATTATTTTAAATAATTTTGAAATATTTTGAAATATTTTGAAATTTATTAAAGTATTTTAAAGTATTTCAAATATTTTAGAATTTATTTATTAAATATATATCTAAGTTTTTTTATATTATTAACTATTAGTTTTCTTTTTCATAGTAAATGTGAGTCATATAACAGTTGTTATATGTTAAATAAACTTATACAAACTCATGTTATAACAGAAAAAAAAAAATAAAACTATTTTTGAATGCTTCATATCTAATAATAGCATATTTGACTTTAAATTTAATGTGCTTAACAACCTGAGCCTCTTCAGGATTCAGGTTAGCATATTAAATTCAAAGCCAGATACTTCTTTTATTTGTTATCCAAAATGATCATTCTATAATTCAAAGGATCACAGTATTCTTATTTCTCTTGCCAAATAAAACTGTTATTAGATGCTACATATTTAATAACTATTTATTATTAATAGTTTTGCTTACTTTTGATTTTAAATTTTTTGGTTTATTTTGAATATTTTTAAATATTTCTTATAATTTTATGATTTATAAAATTTTATTTTTATGATTAATATTTTATTATTTACTTTATTTTTATATAAACTATTTATAATTTATTTTAAATAATAATTTTCTATATTTTCAAATCTTTTTTAAACTTAATTAATCTTAAGAATTTGTTAGTTTTAGCAGGTTATGATATCATATCGCAATTGCAATATCGCAGATCGATATAAATTTATCCAAATGAAAAAATTTTTTTATTGCAGATCGATATAAATATATAAATAAAAAAAAAATTTTTTCAAATATCACATCATATACTAAATTTAGTAAAAAATACATACATAAGATCATTTGCATAAATTAAAGTAAGTATATGTAAAAAAAAAAAAAAGATCATTAGAGATGTTTTTACCTTGTATACTATTCTTGCATTTAATATTGCATATCCAAAATATTTTAAGGTTACTTTAATAAACTTGATTTATACCTTTTTGGTCATGTCAAATAACTTTTCAGAAACTTCATTTTTGGATCCTTATCTTTGCATTTATAATGAAAGACAAGAAGATATAGTAAATTAATAACATATTACAAAATAAAAAAAAAAAGTGCAATAGTTATATTAACTGTTTATTTCTTCTTTATAGCATTTGTGACATCACCTAACTTTTTTTTTATTAATTATCTAAACATTGACAATTATTTTGACTTCTATAATGAAACTCTTAGTGACTTTTTAACAATAGTTAGATAACTAAAGAGTCAACACAATTACTACAAAAACAACACGATGTTGTAATTTAAGAACAACATAATGTTGTAATTCAAGAACAACATGATGTTGTAATACAGAAACAACATGATATTGACCAGGAAGTTATACAATATGATTACCAAAGTAATGAAGAATCTGATTGTATAGATGAGAATGATAAGCCTATGATTGAAGCTGGTGCTACTTTCCCAAATTGGAATTTTTTTGAAAATGCATTAAAAAAATATGAGCTAGAGATTGGATTTAGAGCAATAAAATTTTGGTTAGAATGTGATAATAATAGGACAATAATTCATCGATATTTCATTTGTGAGAATTCTAAAAAATATCAACCTAAAAAAAAATTTGTTAATTCAGATTACAGAGAAAGAGAATCAAAAAAAATTAGATATCAGTAGCAGCTTAATGTAGAATATCAAAAAATCTCTGATAAAATAGTTATTAATAAACTTGCTAACAATTATAATTATTCTTTTGCACTATATCAAAAAGAATTTGCTTCAAGTTTACACTCATTTTCATAAGAAGTACTTGATGATATAAAATTTTTAACTCAGGAATGTAAGCTTAAAACAAAAGCTCAATGTAGATACATTGCAAAAAAATTCCCTAATCAACTACTATATGATCATAATCTATATAATGCAATTTGTCAGTATAAAAACCAAATGGGTAACCAATATGAAAATGATACATCAGATATAGTTAAATGGCTTATAAAGCAACAAGAGCAAGAACCAAGATGGGCAATTTACATTGAATTTGAAGAAGTTGATAATAATCTTTCATAGCTTTTTTGGATGTTACCGATGCAAATAGAATTATGGAAGCGATACCATGATGTGGTTGTAAATGATAATACTGCAAAAACAAATGCATATAATATGTTATTAAACTTTTTTATGATTATTGACAATCATCATCAATCGAGGCTTATAGCACAGTCACTTGTTTAGGATAAGACGATAAATTCATATAGATGGATATTAGATTGTGTATTGAAGGCAACTGATAATTTGCCTCAAAAAGTAATTTATACTGATGCTGACCCTGCTATAATTTCTGATGTTAGCCAAGTCTTTCTCACCACTAAACATAATCATTGTATATTCCATATCCAAACAAATATTGCAAAAAAATTATTTTGAAAGTTTGGTAATTTATACAATGATTTTTTACAAAGTTGGTTTCGATGTCATAATAATCGTAGCAAAGCAGAATTGAAGCATCTCTGAGAGAAATTGTTGAATAAGTATTCTGCAGACAAAAGTTATTTAGAACAACTTTGGAAATCCTGACAGTCATGAGCCAAAATTTATGTGTTTACAACTTTTTGTACTAGAATGCAAAGCATACAACAGGTAGAAGGCACAAATGGGCTTATTAAAACTGAGGTTAGTGCAAAAACAATATTGCTTAATTTAGGCCAAGCAATTCAAACAAAACTTGAATATGAAGCACAATACTAATGACTTTCAGAGTATAAAAATACATTGCCAACCCAAAGATTTTCAAGCATTCAAAATGTGTTTTTTGAACCAGTTCAAAATGAAATAAAAAAATATTTAACTTTGGAATCCACCTTAGTTCAAAGTATCCAAATATCACAAAGTATTCTATATCATGCATATTCATTTGAATTAACTTTGGTATGGCTTTATAAATTTATTATTAGCAAGAGTGTTCTTAATTGAATTAATATATTTTTTTTAGCTTCTTGCTGCACACAAATATACAGATGGATATCTTGAGGATGAATATGATGCATTACAAGCTTCGCTTGAAAATCTTTTGAACATAGTCAACCGTGAAGATATTCTTGAAACTTGAAAAGTTTCTTTATTTGATCACCATAGTCATAGCTATCCCTATTATATTATTCTTTTAAGAGACAATACACATCTTTGTACCTGTCTATATATTATTTCTAATGGTTTTTATTGCAGACATTTCTTTAGTGTTTTTAAAATATCTCGCAATGCAAAGTTTGATATTAAACTTATATCTAAATGTTGGTACACTGATCTAATGCAAGCATCAGACTATTCTATGATTGAAGGCATAGTTATTGAAAAAATCGATTCAAATAAACAAATAAATCAGTTAATTTCTATTCATGGTCCCAATATATATCAAGCTAGTATTCATACTAGCATTATACAAAAACAAGAATATGCATATGATTTTGGTATAGCTAAAAGTGGACTAAAATTTGCCCTTGATAATAGATTAGTTGATGAATTTGCATAATTGATAGAGAAATTTATTGAAAATCATACTGATATTGATGCTAATAATCGAATGACGATTGAAGTTACTCAAATTGAAAATTCAAAAAAATTGAAGCACAAAGGACATCCAAAAATTCTAAAATCTACACAAATCATTTAAGATCTGAATGCAGAAAATTTAAATAAAAGACAAAATTTGAATACAAAGTGAAGTTTAAGTTTACAGAAAGATAAATCAGATAAATCAAGACAAATAATTAAAACAGATACTAAAGATAAAGAAGAGTTTAAAGAAAGGTCAAAAAAACAAAATGAATTAGGTAGAGAAAATTCTACATGAAGAACAGATATTCGTCACTGTGACAATTGTTATAGAACTGAACACTATTCTTCTACGTGTCAATTTCCTAAAGACCATTTTAGATAAAAATTATTGTATAAGATCCAAAGATTTTTAATGGTTTATTCATTTTCATTAATAAACATGACTTGTTAAAAATTTCTATATAAACTAGTATCTTTGCTATTAATAATTGTGCTATATAGTGAATTACCATTACAATAATTTTTGCTATAACTAATTATGCAACAATATCTGTATATGTAAATCTTTCAATTTTTGACTCTAAAAAGTCTTGCAATTAAAAAATTTCTTTACTATGAAAATCTAAAAAAAATTGATTATAACCTATGAAAAACTAACATTGTTCATATAGAAAAATCTGATGACTTTTTTTAGCTTTTGGTAAAAGTCATACCAGTTCTAAATTGCAACTATAATTTAGCAACATACTGAATTTTTAAACACCCAACTGGATGCCAGTCACGTGATTTAAAATCTTGAATATGAACTGTTGGCTCTTATTGCCAAAACTGTATTCTTATTCTAATGCTCTATAATTTTTTTTAGTATCAACTTCAAGATACTAGATAAATCGAGTGATGACATCAGAATTCTTTTAACTAGATATGTAGCATAGTCCTTCTATATTTAGTTAAATTAGCATTAAACTATCACTATAGCATGTAGTGATAGACATTTTTGTTTAATTAATAATGGCATAGCTGTGCAATAATTTATTAACTCAGGATTATAGTTAAACATATTTGTTCAATATTACAAGCAAGTAACTATGAGTTTATTATTACTATTAAAAATCCACTTCAAATAATGCACTTGTTATATGTATGTGCAGATAAGTATCACTTGCTTATAAATAGAACAAGCAAATTGAAAATAGATATGCCAGTTTTTTTTTTTATAAAGTGAAGTTTGAATAAAATCATTGAAACATTGAATAAAATTATAGAACAATGAAATAAAATTATAAAAATAGTGAAAAAAGTGAAACCATCAGATAAAATAGAGCAAAATAGGTTTTTTTTTTTTTTTTTTAAGTTTTTTTTTAAGTTTTGTGATATATATATTTATGATATATGCCTGATTATACATCAAACGGGCTTAAAAATTTTTATATCTTTTTTTTTTTTTTTTTTTTTTAATACAGAAGGGTCATCAAAATTCCAGGTCATATGTGTCAGATCTAGTTTAGTGTTTAGCCCAAGCTGTTAGCAAATTCTATAACAAAATTATCAGCTAGGCATTATTTTACATAATAAATATGATTTTTATTGGTAAAATTTTTTATGGTCTTGGGGCAAAATTGATCAATTTCGATCTAGCTGACTCTATGATTCTGATGCACTTCGATGTATTCTGACCTAAAATTTTGGTAACCCATTCACTTTTATGTGAAGTATTAGGTTAGGGTTAGTATGAGTGCTTGAATTTTAAGCATTAGGTTAGAGTTAGTATAAGTGCTTGATTATTGATATAGGCTGATGCCAAATTCTCGAGCTGACCTGGCTGCCAAAATTAGTTAGCCCGATCAACTAGGTCGATCATATTGTTAAAAAATTTTCAGTTAATCAAGAATGCAAATTAGTCCTATATTTTGATCTTCTCAATATAAAAATAGTTAGAATTACATCATATTTGTGCAATATTTCCATACTAACAAATTACACTATGAAGATACTTGAGATAATGCTATAATGATAGTAGTTGATCTTAAAGAATCGACTTTAGCTAGTCGATATAATGATCAATATATTATAAGCATGCATATATTTAAATTACAAATACTGAAAGAGTACTGTAATAAGAAGAGTACATGTAAATAAGAAGTAGTTATAAGAGGGCCCAATAGGTCTTCTTATGGCTAGTAATCTACTAGGTTATTTTCTTATAGTTGAAAATAAAATTGATAATGTATAATGATGGTTTACTAACTTATAATCAATAATCAGTGCTTTTAATCAGTGAAAGAACATACAATCAGAACCCTAATTGATGACTAGAAAGTCGACTATTTGATTTTGATCGGATAGATGATTATCAACTGCAAGCATTAGCTTAAAAATGTTCTATACATAATTTAACTAATGATTCTAAGTTATACAATGAAATTCTATCAGGCAAAAAAGATTTAACTATATTCTGGCTAGGCTGACCTGCAGAAATATAAGTCAAGAGTCAACCTATTTGCCTGCCTGGCTGATAGGCCAAGGTTAGCCCGTATCACTAACAGTTTAGTATTTGTTATGTAAAATCACTCAAAGAAAACCTGGTTTGTTTTGATTGAGTTATGTTACACTAAATTATAGTTTTTTATTAGCTAATAGTCATGTGTAGTGAATTTTGATGTCATTAGTGTGAATTTGCATGTTTTTATCTAATTTAGATAAAATTACATGACCTGCAATATAGCAAGCTGCGATTTTTAGCAAACTCCTTAATTAAAATATAATAAATTTATTTTTAAATCTTGATATTATAGTATATATAATTCTAAAAGTGTAGTTTAAAATAACAGTCATTAGATTTAATATTATAAATAAGCTTTTTAATTTATTTTATAAAATATAATGTATCAAAAGTAATAATACAACTTATATATGTAAAATAATATAAAAAACTTTTTTACTTAATAAACAAAATATAGTTTATATAATAAAAAAAAGTTATAAGAATGGCAATCCTAGTGTAATGATTGGGTTGTTATCTTCTAAGTAACAGGTTTAAGGTTCAAATTCTACTTATAATAAAATTTGGAAATAATATCTGCATTATAGTAACTGTTTTCTGTTGATTAGTTGGCCTTATGCAGCTGTAATTCAAATATACCAAGTCAGGTCCTACTGATATTAGAAGCTTGGGGCATCTATATGAAGTATAATATTATATATATATATAGAAATGTATAACCAGTATTGTATAAGTTTTTAGTACTAACTTATAATAAGACCACTAAGCATAGAAGACTAAGAAACTAAGATAACAGAAACCAACTTAGAAATTTCTAAATAAAGAGATAGCATAAACTTTTAATAGTACTATCAGACTGATTGAAGTCTACAGAACACCTTTATAGAAACTGAAGATTAAACCAGATATCAAATATGTGTAAAGGTGCATATAACTAACCAGGCTGCCAAATTTGCCAAAGAAAAAGGATACAAAAGTATATTATACTGGGCTATCTGAATTAGTAGTCTGAAAAAAACTGCCAGTTCTGAGTTGTGGCTAGTAGAAAATGATGTTAGAAAAATAGATACTAAGGTTTTAGTAAACTTTACAAGGGTAAAAATAATATAATGTAGCAGCTAAACAGGTAACTCTTGTGATTGCAAGTATTAGATAACTATAGCATATTACATAAAACTAGATCTGTATATGTGGAATATAAAGGCTCTAATAAGTTTTCTGTTAAGAATAAAGTAGTCTAAAGATAATAATCAGCATCAAGAACTTGAATGAGTGTAGTCTTGAAATGTTCTCATAATACAAAAAAGATTGCATATGCAGAGAATTTAAATAGACAAGACTTTTAGTTGGCTTGCAAGTATGGCAACTAGTATAGAACTTATATAGCAATATGTAAATAGACTACTTAAATTAGGCACCAAAAGTGCATATGTGGCTAGTAGGGTTCTGCAATTTGATTTGATTTGATTTGATTTAATCAAATATTTGAGTTCAAATCAAATTCAAATCTGAAATTTTCAAATCAAATCAAATTCAAA